AGGAAGGAAGGAAGGAAGGAAGGAAGGAAGGAAGGAAGGAAGGAAGGGGAAACTTAGATATGTGGGACCCAGGAGTCAGGATTCCTAGCATCCACATGACAGCTCCTAATGGTCTGTCATTCCAGTTCCAGGCGATTCAATGCCCTCTTCTCGTTTGGCCTTCAAGGACACCTGGCATGCATGTGGTGCACAGACATACTTACTGGCAAAACACCCCCCCCCACACACACATACACACACAAATATACAACTAAAAAAATATAAGAAGTGACTAAATAGGGCAAAAAAGAGACAAGAATTAAAAATTAGCACAATGTTAGTAGCTGTGATTATTCCTGGTGCTTCTGTGTACAGGTGTTTGGTTGATTTAAAAAACCAACAAACCAACAAACACCATGAATAATCAGAAGGGATGATAGTACCATGGCCTGATAGCCCCTCATGCTGCTCTAAATAGATCTAGATGGTCCTCTCCTTCTTGGGAACTTCATGCTCTTATGGCTTGATGTGTAGGAGAAAGTTAATGCATTTAACTAAGAACCCAACGGGCCGTACACAGGTGGAGCCGAATAAAAGGGCGTTCGGTTGTTTGTCCTCTCCTGTTTAACGTGATCTCTCTTTCCCAACGCCAGGCGTTAACATGTACCACCACTTCTGTGATTTCCTGAATCTCTACATCACTCAGCACGTCAACAATTCCTTCAGCACGGACGTGTATATCGTGATGTGGGACACGGTAAGTAGGCACCCGCTCTCCCCCTTTGCGCCAGCGCTCCCTCGCTCTTCCACTGAGTGCCTTTGACCTGGCGATAGAGGATTTTCTAAGATGCGTGTTTACATACGTGCCTAAACATACGTACACTCACACATGTAGAGATGTGTTTCTGTGGGCCCCCTGACGTAGACATATGCACACTGGCAGGTACATACAGATGTGATGTGTGATCCTTTATTGTTACTGCTTCGGTTTGGTCGTGATTTTGTTTAAGGTGGTGTCTCACGTAGCCCAGGCTGGCCTTGAACTGACAATGTAGTCGAGGATGACCCTCCGCTCCTCTCACATCCTCTCTAAGTTGCTCGGATTACAGGTATGGTACTGGGGATTGAACCCCAGGCTTCATGCATGCTAAGCAAATACTCTATCAACTGAGCCACATCCCATCCCAGAGATATGTGTGATCTTACGTGCTTTGAACTTCAGAGTGATGCAGTGGATTTCCTCCCCTCTGGCACAGATAGACTTATCAAATGCAGAGCTCCAGTGTCAGTCTCAGTGCTCTTCTGAGACATAAGACAGCCAGGAGGCCTCTGTGACTGAAGGTGGTCTCCTGTTTACTTTGCCCTTTTGAATTTACTGCTCCCCCTCCCCGGTCCCTCCCTGAACCCTGCCCCACTCCTCCAGCTCTGGAGATGGAACCCAGAGCCTCACAAATGCGAAGCTGCTAAGCGAAAGCAAGCACTCCACCATGGAGCTACGCCTCAGCCCCTACCCTTTGCTTAATAGCACCTTTGCAGCCACAACCAGCTTCCTGCTAAGTGGCCTCACTTATCTAGAGTGAATGTTATACGTGTATCTAAATCAGAAGCAATGTGGAAACAGATGACAGGGACTGGGTAGAGTTTCAGAGAGCAGAGCACACCAGCTAATTCGTAAACAGATCCGCAGACTAGGAGAAAGTATTTGTGGACTCCACTTTCTAGACAGTAAGCTCACAGTATAGCGCTGTGGATGGTGGTTGTCTCCCTAGCAGAACTCTGGCATGATTTAAAGTCCTTGGAAAAGTAGTTCTGTGTTCTTGACATGCCCTTGCTTTCTGTATCTCTGGCTCTATATGCACTTCCTCTTCCGTCTTGAGTCCAGTTTTACTGACACTTCAGTTTCATTTCTTGGCAGTGTTTCTGTGAGCGAAGGGGACAGTGTCCTTCTCTTTCCTTCGTTTTGCTTAAGTGGGTCACATCTCTCAGCAATCCCACAAGACGTTAAAAAAAATCCCTTTATAAAAATCACATCCTCACAGTGGAGAATTTGGATCAGGATTTTTATTAGTGTATTTTACAGACAGGAAACAGCAGGTGAGTGTTCTAAGATAACACAGTGGAGGGGTGGAGACAAGATTTCTAGCCCTGGGCTCGGAAGACACTTCCTGTATTGTCCTCTGAAAAACATGAGGTAGAGAGAAACTTATCAAGTACTTTCTAAGAGGCTTTTTCAGACCATCTTGCATTCCTTTTTACATCTAAATGAGCTAGCTTCCATACCCTTGTGCCTGCTGGGGAGGAACTGGGTACAGGGTTCCCTGCCAAAACATGCTTTTCAGGCAGTCTGGCAATCATTCTGGCATGGATAAGCAGCATGGGTGTAGCTGAGCAGTGTGGTCAGCTGCCCGGTGTCACCCCTGTCCTTTGCTGGTCCTCTAACTCCTCCCTTAGAAACCTTCTCTCTTGGTCAGAGATATCTTTGTCAACTGCCCAGCCAAGCTCTTCATAACAAGCAGCTCTGCCCATTCGCTCCAGAGTCCAGTGCTTAAGAGCCTGTAGTTTGCCAGGAGATGGGACTATTGTGATTGTATTGTCCACCGTTGAGTTACTTTGTCAGCAAAGCCTAAAGTCAGGGGTTCTTGACTTGTGGGTCACGACCTCCTGGGAGGTTGTTGAAGGACCTTTCACAGGGGTCACCTGGCTGGAAAACAGAGAGCATTACATTTGCAGTTCATAACAGTAGCAAGGTTACAGTTATGAAGTTGCAACAAAAATTTTTTCTTTTTAATTGGTGAGGAACGGTATTAAAGGATCAGCATTAGGAAGGTTGAGAACCAACAAGTTAAGTTAAGCAGCACTGATTCCACCTTGTGGGATACCCAATTAGTCTTCAGTGTGAGGTCTGAAGACTCCCCGCCTTCCACTGATGGGTAATTTCAATATGGAGGCTGTAGAGATCAAGTTTCTAGAAGTGGCTGTTGTCACAGGTTCCCTGGGAAGGGTCCAGTCAGAATCACTCTATTTTATCAGTAAAATTTCCTTTCAGAGGCACGTTATATTATCTAGAGTATTTTATCTCAAGAAATTGTCTGAAGTTCCTTCTTCTAATTGCTCTTCATTTATTATTGAGCAACAATGGGACAGTTTCGTTGTGGATGGTGTAGAGGCCCTTTATTGGACTATTGCTGGAGAAACACTGAGGCAAAGCATTTCTGTGTCACAGCACCTAAGAGTTCTCCATACCTTTGAAATGTCTACAATGGGAGAAGCCTAAAAACGTCAAAATCTAAGAAAATAATAATAATAATTCTATACACATGAAGAGACTTAACATAGCGGATGAGTAATTGCAGACTTTGGGTGTATTGCCATGGTTTGTGTTCTTCTGTCTCTTTCTTCCGTCTAAGTCACACCGTTTAAACACGGAACCCTCCCGTTACAGGGTAGAGCCAATTAACTTTGACCTTCCAGGGAGGAGCTGCATTTGATAAACACGTTAGGACAGGTTCCCACTGAGAAGCAGCTGTCATGGAGTACATGAGCATGAAGTCCAAGACCACAGAGTGGGCATGACTCCAGCCCTGGGACTCGTTAGTTCTGCTATTTAGGCAAACTGCTTGAATTCATACACAGTTTCCTCATGTATAAAATAAGGATAAGGCCACCAGCTAGCTCGTTAGAGTTGCAGAGTTGTTTGACGAAGTAATAATCTATAGTGCTTAGAATAAAGCCTGGGACATGGGAAGCAACCCAGATATTGTTAGTATTATATGCTGTTACGTGATGTTACGAGTGACATTATTAAAATGAATGGGGTGTTGTCATGTTATTCAGTGGAGGAGAATAGTCATTTAGTGTTTAAGCTTTCAAGCCATATTTTTTTTTTTTTTTTTTGCTTTGAAATTTCTTTCCAAATGCCACTCTACTTACCCTGATGGGCTTTGCTCAGTGAGCATATTATCGTGTGTACAAATCGTGTCATATGTACGCATCGTCTCATGCATCCTCTTGTGACACAAACTTGTTATTTCTGCCTTCAGAGCTCTTACGGATATGGTGACCTCTTCTCTGATACCTGGAAAGCGTTTACTGATTATGACGTTATACATTTGAAAACCTATGATTCCAAAAAGGTACTGGAAACTTACTGAAATGTCTTTAAATGACTGTCAAGTGCAAGTAACTAACTCAGATAGTAAATATTGAAGTTTCCCTTGGATATTACCATTGATTTCTGACTTCTTGGTTTTGTTGTTGTTGTTGTAGCTAGAATTCTTGTAAATAAACCTTAAAACCTTGTTTCTATAAACTTTGTGAAAATATGAATTTTATTCTCTTTGATGTAAGTTTGCACAGGATGGAGAGAAATTGGAATTTACTTTCTAAAATGAGGACTGCTGTTTTGGCACCCATGGTACACACCTTACTCTGTTTTTTTGTCTTCTGAAGGGTGTACACCTCACTGTGTTTTCTGTCTATGGAGGGTCCACACCTTACTAGGCTGTCTTTTTTTTGTCTTTTATTTATTTATTTATTTATTTATTTATTTATTTATTTATTTATTTATTTATTTTGAGATTTTTTATTTCTTTCTTTTTTAATTTTTTTATTATTAGTTATACTTTATTTTATTTTTTAATTTTTTATTAATTACACTTTATTCATTTTGTATCCCCCATAATCTGTATTTCTTCCTAGGTGTGTTTTAAGGAAGCTGTGTTTTCTTTGCTGCCCCGCATGCGGTACGGGCTGTTTTATAACACGCCTCTGGTAAGCATCTAAGACAACATTTCCATGTTTCTTGAGAGCATCTCAAACCCCAGCGCAGGCGTATTCACTGTAACGTGAACTGGTGTTTTTGTTTTAGATCTCTGGCTGTCAGAACACTGGGCTGTTCAGAGCCTTCTCCCAGCATGTGCTGTACAGGCTGAACATCACTCAGGAGGGACCCAAGGTAATGGGTAATGTTGTGAGTTCTGAGGTAGGCTTGATTATTCACCTTTAGTCAGTGCCACCTTTGTAGAAAAACACACGACGAGGGGTCAGTGTTTGCTGTGAGAATGCTGCCAATCTGGAGTCCTCTGAATCCAGGAGTCAGTAGCCACTGAAGATAAACTAAAGGGTACTATAAAAATATGCTTCGTTCTCATCGTCCTTTGTCTATTTCTTTGCCCACATCTCCCTACCTTCTCCCACTTAACTCATGTAATGCCCGCTAAAAGCAATCTACCCTGCCAACCAGCAACTGAGTATTAGTGTAATGAACAGGTTTTGTCTTCCATGGCTCAAGTGGATATACTTATGTGTATTCGTAATCAACATAAAATAATTGTGCATGTTTCTAGGGTACGGTATTATTTTTTTTTGATACATGACACAGTCTAATTGTTAAAGCACTTGTGTTCCCTCACGCGCCAATCACGTCTTTCTTGTGGGAACGTTCCAAATCTTTTCTCCTAGTTTTTTGGAAATAAGAAACTGTACATTAATGTCAAGCCTACTAACTCTACAGTGATACCAATAGCAGACCTCAACCCTCATAGATCTGTACTGTGTATCTGATAACCACCCCATTTGTTTCCTTCCGAACATCCTTCCCAGTGTCCACCATCCACTAGCCCAGCAGTTCTCAACATGTGGGTCTTGACCCCTTTTTGTGTGTGTTGAACAACGCTCTCACGGGGGGGGGGGTCGCCTAAGATCATTGGAAAACACAGATATCTAAATTCCAATTCATAAAAGTAACAAAATTACAGTTATGAAGTAGTGGCAAAAAATAATTTTACGGTTGGGGGTCACCACAACGTGAGGAACTGTATGAAGGCGTCACAGCATTAGGAAGGTTTGAAAACCACTGCTTTAGTCTGTTCTACTTTTCTGCTAACCTCCAGTATTCTTTTGTATGCATCTAATAATAAGATCAGCTCTTTTAGCTTCTGGATCTGAGAAAGAATGTGCAGTATGTGTCTTTCTGTGCTGAGGGACCATGACGGCCCAGGGTTACAGAGAAAGGGTCAAGGGAGCTTTCACCAACAGATACCTCAAACATGAGGATGGCAGGAGTTTGGCTACCTCTGCCCTCTTAACCTGGTGCCGAAAAGCTAGCCCTCCCCCGCCATCAACCCTAGTAAGAATTTATTACACTGACACTTCTCAGGCTTCATTCTTTGTCTGACCTTAGAAGCTCACCCCCAACCCCTGCCCTCAACCCTACAGCCCTGAACACGCAGATGAAGCATCCTGCCCTGGCCAGTGCTACATGACCACACAAGTCTTGCCCCAGAGACCCTGGCCACCTCCCCAGGAGCATAAGTACACCCCCCCCGCCAAAAAAATAACCCGAACCAGTTCTCCAAAGCTGTTCCTGGGTGTGTTCATTGCCTGCTCATTCACCTACATCACACTGACCCACGCCTGACTAAGCTTCCCTCCCTCTAGTCCAGTTCATCAGGCAAGGGCCAGGCTACTTCATGGGGAAGAGGACATAGCGAGGCACTGCGCCCGACTTATGTTAACATAATGTCTTTCTTTTCCCTCCATGCTGCAATAAATGACATGTTTTGTTCCTCTGTGTAGTTGAGTAATAGTCTGTTGTATACATGTATTTAATTTTTTTTAATTTTTATTATTAGTTCCATTTTATTAACTCTGTATCCCACTCCCTCATTCCCTCCCAATCTCACCATCCCTCCCTCATCTCCTCCTCGCCCCTTTCCAAGTCCACTGCTTGGGGAGGACCTCCTCTCCTTTCATCTGACCCTGTTTTTATCAGGTATCCTCAGGACTGGCTGCAAAGTCCTCCTCTGTAGCCTAATAGGACTGCTCCTCCCTTGCTGGGTGGGGAGGTCAAAGAGCCTGCCATTGAGTTCCTGTCAGAAACAGTCCCTGTTCCCCTTACTATGGAAAACCAATTGGTTACTGAGCTACCATAGGGTACATCCGAGCAGAGGTTCTAGGTTATATCCATACATGGTCCTTGGTGGAATGTCAGTCTCAGAAAAGACCCCTGTGCCCAGATATATTTGGTCCTTGTGGAGCTCCTATCCTTTCCACGTCATACTAACTCCCCCTTCTTTCATATGATTCCCTGCACTCTGCCCAAGGTTTGGTTATGAGTCTTTGTATCTGCTTTGATACACTGCTAGGCAGAGTCTTTCAGAGGCCCTCTGTGGTAGGCTCCTGTCCTGTTACTTGTCCTATGTCCAATGCACATCCCATTTGTCTTTCTAAGTGAGGATTGACCATCTTACGCCAGGGCCTCTTTCTTGTTTATCTTCTTTAGGTGTGTAGATTTCATTATGTTTATCATAACTTATAGGTCTATATGAGTGAGTATATACCATATGTGTCTTTCTACATGTATTTTCTAGTAAAGTAGATATGTTTTTATTTTCTGAGATAATGGTTAATAGTCACCATTATGTAAGTATAAACTTACATAATGAGAGAATTTCAGCTCTCTGCGAAATTGCATTTGAGATTTGGGGTTCATTTTGGGGGTCTGAGGACATCCAATATTATTCCAACTTTTCATTTTGACCACAGGATGGGAAAGTTCGAGTTACCATTCTTGCACGAAGCACAGAATACCGGAAAATACTGAACCAAAATGAGGTTAGTGTTTCAGTACAAACTTTTAATATTATAATGACTCTTCCTACCATGGCTAATGTACTGTGTTTTTTCATATTGCATTAGAAGTTTTATTTGAAACTATTTGTTTCTGGAGATACATAACGGTCTGTGCCTATTGCAACTACTGGCTTTTAGCTTCTTCAAACTCTGACCCCATCCAGATCTGCTTTATTGTAAACTTTTAGCTGCACCAGCTCTAGGTGGAATACAGGCGAAACCAAGGCCAAACAAAACTGTGAGTCTTGTCTGGACTGCAACAGGAGCCTGAGAATGCTCCCTCCAGGCAAACCAGTAACAACATGCTTTTTGAGAGATGATTGATGTTACTTGGCATTTCTGTAGCATCCGGCAACACACGTGATTGAAAGAGGCTCCATCCACTTAAACGGTGCATGCTTGAGAAACTGCTCCTGGGCATGCAGCTCAGATCAGCAGTGGAAGATCACACATTGCATCCAGCCTCGCACTGGGCAGATAATCAAGGGAGCCCGGACCTGAGACTGTTCCTCACTGTTGTCCTCTGCCACAGCAGCGGGATGCAAGAGGAGCTTGAGTGTACCCCTGAGCTCGGGCCACTGGGAAGGGACAGGTCAGGGAAGAGCACCAAGTCAGTGGGGAGGAAGTTTAGGGAAAGGCCCAGTGCCGGCACCTGCTCTGGCGCAGGCCTGAGACTTTCAGAATCTCTGGGCAGACTGCACAAATGCTATTCCTCTGAGGTGAGATTAGTAAGTCAGTTCCCACTGGCAAGCCCAAGAGTACTCAGCGTGCTGTTCTTCCTTCAAGACAGGATATGGGCTCCAGAGGGCGTGCATGATGAGGACAACAGTACTTTGGCTACACTTTGAATAGGGAACAGAGAATAAGGTTGGGATGTGTGGATAGCCCAGGCATACCTTGAATTTACAGTGTAGGCTTGGCTGGTCTTGAACTCACAATCCTACTGCCTCGGTGCTGGGAGTGCAGCCCAGCTCCCCGGTGGTCTGGTTAAGTGATAGCTCCTGCAAAACTTGCCCCAGTGCACGGTTTGCTGAGACAATGATGCACGGTTGGAAATTAGAGAAAGGGCCCACCCCGGGAACTCTCAGGTACGTGAGATTGCTTTGGTGTGGCTCTACCTCATTAAATGACGAAGAGTCATGCTACCTAACTAGTTCTCTCCCGGAGGAAAAAGTGGCTGTTTGTAGAGGGAAACTTTCACCTTGTGACTGCACGCGTGTTGCACAGTTGTGTATACGTGTTTACAAAATGGGGTCAGCAATTAGATTGCATCCAACGATTCGATGTGTATGCACTGCTTAAGGACAGAGATTGCATGGTCAGAAATGCAGGCTTTGGCTCCCTTCCTTCCTCCCTCCCTCCCTCCTTCCTTCTCTTCTCTGCCAGGGACTGAAACAAGCCTACCACTGCTTATACCTCCAGCCCAGGTCAATACTTTCTGTAACCACTGAAGTTGCTACACTGCCTGGCAGAGATGTAAACCTTCACAGTATCAGGTTACAGCGCTTCGGCTGCTTTGACAGCACATTTCTGACATTACTGATCTTAAAATGCCTGCCAGAATAAGAACCAAAAGCGAATTGAGAAATTACATAGAAATAGTTGTGTGTGTGTGTGTGTGTGTGTGTGTTTCCTGCCAAAACATCAGTATTTTTAAAGGAGGGGGCCCAACCTCCTAGTGATTTGCTTGAAGTGAGACAAGGGATGGAAAGAGCCGTCTCCGCATGGTGGCTGGAGCACCCTCAAAGCACCCAGGCGCTCTGAAATGATAAGAAAGTAGGGTGATGAATTCAAGAGATAGTATCAGCACTTGAATTCAAACAAGGTCTAAATAATAAATGCAAATGATAGGTCATACATACCGGTTTTTATCTGCAAAAAAACTAAGAAGCTTTAGGAGGTGGGGTAAAATGGGTAAAGTGCGTGTTCCAGGAGTGTGAGGACCTGAGCTTGCCCCTCAGAACATACAAAGTCCAGGCGTAGGGCCTAGAGAGCCAGCTCAGGGGTAAAAGGGCTTGTTGTGAAAGCAAGAGGACTGGAGTTCCCAGCACTGGCGTAAAAGCCAGGCATGGCTGCATGTGCCTTGGGGAGCAGCGACACGCAGATCCCAGGAGCACGCTTGCCAGCCAGCCTAGCCAAAACAGTGAGCTTCAGTGAGAGAGCCCGTCTCCGAATATCAGAGAGGAGAAGGGACTAAAGAGGTGGCTCAGTCCACAACGTACCTGCAGTGCAGGCCTGAAGAGCTGAGTCTGGCTCCCCGGAGCCCCCACACAGCCCACACAGTAGCATTCTCCACATGGGGACCGGAAGGTGTGCTGAGACGACAGATCCCCAAAGCTCAGTGACCCATCAGTCTAACTAAATTGGTGAGCTTCTGGTTCAGGGAGGGAAGCTGAAAATACAGGTGAAGAACCAAGAAGGACAGACACCTGCTGGAGTCCCCTGGCTGCCATGGGCATGAACACTCTCACACGTGGGAAGTTTCTGCCAGAAATTCCAAATTCCTTCTATTTGTAGAGAGGCATGAAGAGGCCGGCTTCTCCTGGGATGGCCCTGGTGTAGCCACCATCCACCAGGGAAGACAGGAGACATATAGGACTCCCACAGCGAGCTTGCTTAGAAGGTCACAGCTTACCAAAAGCTTCTACCAAGAGAGGTAGTAATGGAAAACCAGGCAGAGCCCCGGACCTGTAACCAGAAGAGGAGGATTTAGGTTCGAGTTCAGCCTCTCACTTGCTTTATGTGTTTAGGCGGATCATTTCCCCTTTTGAGTTGTGCTTCTCTGATTTATAGAGGAAAGTGAGCAACACACACACAGGGCAGGTGTGGCTGGCTGGCTCCAGGGCAAATGAGATGGAAAGTATTTCTGAGGAGCAATATGTGGGGTGGTCCTCTGTGCATGTGAAACAAATTTTAATTAAAAAACAAACTTTAGAATTCATAAAGAAAAGCAGAAAGGAAGGAAGAATAATTCTACATGTTTGTTTGTTTGTTTTCCCCCCCAGCTGGTAAATGCACTGAAAACAGTATCCACATTTGAAGTCCGGGTGGTTGATTACAAGTACAGGTAAGCCAGGGCCCGGGCAGGTGCTCTCATCTCTAGATTGGACCACTCACTGATGGGAACATAGCGTTTTTTGCAGTGGGCACACTTGGCCCTTGTAGACCAAGAGGTGACACTCAGACTGTCATTAAACAAAATGGGGGGTGACAGGAGCCTCAAGTTTAGAAGGCTGCTGAGCTTTCTGAGGTCTCCTGTTCTGGTACAAATTTATTTTATTTTTCTGGAGAAATAATGAATCCAGATTTTTGTTTGAAATTTCTGAATTTTTAAAAGTTAGCAGCTGTCGGGCGTGGTGGCACATGCCTGTATCTCAGCACTCAGAGGCAGAGGCAGGTGGGTCTCTGTGATTTCGAGGTCAGTCTGGTCTACAAAGTGAGTCCAGGACAGCCAAGGCTACACAAATAAACTCTTTTTTGGAAAAAAAAATGTTAGCAGCTGGTATTAAATTTTAACATGCACACACACACACACACACACACACATCCACATAAACAAATATACAC